ATTTTGATGGTCTCAATTGAACCTCTCACAGACATCCCTGCTGTTGATCCAAATATAACTTCTAAGTTTATCCAGAAGAGCAGGAGTCCCAAGCCTTTCGATAGCTGGAAGGCATCTCTTTGCATCTGTAAAGTTGTAGCTTGGGGCATCTGTCTGTTTCAGGCCTGGGGAGAATTTGATGTCTAAAGCTTTCACCCACCTCTGATAATGCACCTGCCTTTTTTTTTTTTTTAATTTCAACGAGGGGATTTTCTTTTAAATTTTTTGTTTATTTTTATGTGTATGACTATTTTCCCTGCATGTATGTAAGTGCACCACATGTGTGCAATGTCTGTAGAGGCCAGAAGGCAGTGCTAGATCCCCTGAAATTGCAGTTATGGATGGTTGTTGGCTACCATGTGGGTGCTGGGAACTGAACTCAGGTCCTCTTCAGAAGCAGCCAAGTGCTCTTAACCCCTGAGCCACTCTCTTGCTCCATGAGGGAATTTTCTTAGTAAAGAATAGAAGTGTTGCTAGACTCAGATGGCAGAAAGAAAAGGAGCTGGGAAGAACATGACATGAAGTATAATTCAGATCACCAAACAGTTCTTTTCTGTTCTTTATTGGCATATATTTATATGTAATGGGTTGCATTTCCACACAAGCATATAATGTATTTTGATAGTACGCTCCCATTGCCCTTACTTGTCTCTCTACCACACTTGATGATCCCCTTCCTCTTTTTGACTATTTCCCCCTAGACTCCTATTTTGGGTGTGTGTCATGAGCATAGGTGCCTTACTGGTGGCTACACCACTGAAGAAAATATCCCTTCTTTCTGCAGAAACCATAAACTGCCTATAGATCTCCAGAGAAGGATGGGGCTTCATGAGCCCATCTCTCTTCCATGGCTGTGTGTCGACAGGCTCCATTCTGTGTAGGCCTTCTGCAGGCAAATAGAGCTGCTGAGAGTTCAGGAGTGCAACAGCCATGCCATGTCTAGAACACTGCATTCCACAATACTCTACCCTTCTTCTACCTCTTAGATTATTTTCACTCCGTCTCCTTCAATATTCCCTAAGTTTTGGATGGGGTGATATAGATACCCCACTTATGACTGAGCAGTCAACACTCAGTTATTGTTAGCATTATGACTAGGTTATAAGTCTTTGCAATTGCTGCTGTCTATTGCAAAAAAAAGCAGCTTTTCTGACCAAATCTGACAGCTACAATAAGGTATGAGGATAAACACAGTTATTTAAAAGGCAATTTGATTGGTACATCATGTCTATTTGGTAAAACAACAACTGTAGTTTCCATAGTAGGGCCTATGACCTCCTTAGTTTTTGGACCAAGTTTACAGTACCAGATGTAAATTCCCTTCTGTGGAGTAGCCCTCACATCCAAATCACAAAGTGCTTGGTTGCCCCCATAATGGACTTGCCACTTTTGTGCACCAGTGGGCACATCTCACCTGGCAGGTCAGTAGTGTAGCATTCAGGGCCCACAAGTATTACTTACCTTGAGCAGCTATGATGTACCAAGGGGTGAGGCTGAAAATGAGTGTTCCATACAGAAAAGAAAAAGAAACGGGTTGAAAGAGGGATCAAGATGGAAGAAAAAAAAGAGATTGAGATGGAAGAAAAAACACCACCACCAGGACAGAAGAAGAGATGATATAGAGGAAAGAAGAGTAGAGAAATGTGTCCAGGAAAACATAAAAGAGAGAGACCAATTGAAGATGGAGGACCAATGGAGGAAAAGGCAGAACACACAAGAAAGAGTCAGCAAGAGGAGCATTCAGAAACGATCCCAGAAATGTCAAGAGAGTAGTTTTGTTTTGGGGACTGTGATTTCAATATCTTTATAAGAGGCCACCTAACAAGGCTGCCCCATTCCCCATGTCTTTGAACTGTGCACAGAGAAACTGGGAGAAAAATGTGTTTAAAGTTAGAAGGTATGCAGAGTTTTGAGGATTTATAGATCCGCTCAGTGAACTAACCTCAGAGGTCATTATGGTTACTATATCAGAGGCTTTGTTTCCTTTTCCAAAAGCAAAAGCAAACACTAGTTTTATAGTAAACACAGAAAAGAATATATTTTACAATTAAAAATTTATTTTTATTTAAGTGTATGAATTTTTTGTCTGTATGTAAGTCCACCACATGCATACAGTGTCTGTGGAGGCCAGAAGAGGGTTTGGATGCCCTGGAACTGGAGTTATGGATAGTTGTTAGCTGCCATGTGGGTGCTGGAAGCTGAACCTGGGTCCTCTGCAAGGGCAGCCAATGCTCTTAACCACTGAGTCATCTCTATAGCCCTAGCCCTAGTGACCCACCCTTCCTTCCTTCCTTCCTTCCTTCCTTCCTTCCTTCCTTCCTTCCTTCCTTCCTTCCTTCCTTTCTTCCCCCATCCCTCCTTCCCTCCCTCTTCTTCTTTTGCTTTCAGTTTTTTGAGAAAGGGTCTCACTGTGTAGCCCTGGATGGGCTGGGACTCAAATTCACAGAGATCCACCTCTGCCTCCTGAGAGCTGGGGCTAAAGATGTGCTCCACAATGCTGGGCCCAGAGACTCCTCTGTGTACAGAATTTTGAGGACATTTTTGGTCCTGGAAAAGGTGCCTTTCTTCAGCTCCGGTTGAGGTAATCCACAGTTAGTAAAGTCCTGGTGTCTGTAAGTGTTCATTAAAATGCCTCCTTGAGATAGAAAGGGTGAATATAGTACTTTATTGCAGGTAAATGATCTCTCATTTATATTTGGTGTATCTTATTTTTCAGAAAATGTTTTAAGAAGAAATGCAGTATCTTTAGTACACCTGAATGACTGTGGAGGGTATCCAGATATTTGCTGAGGTAACACCACTGTTACACGAGTATCTGGGAGTGCAGACTTCTCACGCCAGGCCTCTGGGGCAGAAGTCATTTGAAAGTCAGTATCTATTGATAAGACAGACAACCTATATTTGGACACCACCTGAGGGAATGCTGACAGAACATGCTGGGAAAGGCCATCCTCCACGTCACTGTGAGCATTTAAGATGCCTGGGCACAAGAGCAAACTGGTGGGCCAAGGTCTTTGGTCCTGTCTTTCTTTGCTGTGTTATCATGTCTACAGATGAGGAGAATGATGACTTCTGTCCAGCTGTGCCCAACACTGAAGAGTTCAACAGAAAGACCAATCAAACCTTTAGGAGTCAGTGTTGGGGGAATTCTGTGTGCTGAGAGCTGGAGGGAGGCCACCAATTTATCTCAGGTATATTATTTCTCCAGGAAACACAGCATAATTGAGGACAATTTTCCACCATGAATTGCATCATTAGCTAACACAGGGAAAGTGAAATGCGGTTGACTTTTCTTTTTCTTCTGCAAAGCTGATGAGCCGAAGGAAATAGAAATGAAAAGTTTAATGTAATTTTTTTCTTTGCCAAGGATATATGTTGAAAATCAGAATCAAAACACTTTTACACGGTAATAGAAATCCCACATTTTAATACATTGCCATGCATATAAGGAATCAAGTAATACTGAATACAAAATAGTCAAATATACAAAATGATAAAGCAGATTTTCAAGCCTGTTAGAGATCATGCTCATGGATACAAATGGGCAGAAATTTGTACAGTTTTATTCTTATCAATTTAAAAAGAATCATGCCCCTTCCCAGCTCTTCTTGAAGAAAACCCAAAATAGAAAGAAATATTATAAGAAAATATAAAGGAGACCCAAAGGGAATTGGCAAGTTGGTAGCTGCTCAAGATATAGAAATCAGTGGCTCAAAATTGTGGTGCACAATAATGCTTATGTTTAGAGGAAAAAAGTTTCTAAACATGCCCTGGAACCCAGGGAACAAAAGTGGACATCCAACAGAAAAGGCACTCTTGTTTTTACCACATAACTTGATTGTGTCTTCCTAAGTCTGGGCCTGGTACATTTTTTAGGGTGAAAAAAAAAAAAACCCAAAAAACAAACCAAAACAAAGCAACAAAACAAAGAAAAAAAAAAGCAGTACAGTTGTAGGCAATATATTGTTTAATTAACCACTCTTGGGAGACCAACAGAATTCTGACTGTTGCTTTAACCACTCATTTAAGGAAACTATAAAAACATATGCTATCTATTGGATGACCACAAGGAAATTTTCCAGACAGCTGGGAAGTTACTTATATGAACTCACAGCAATGGTGACAGCATGGACAAGTCCCACATAAGTTCAATTCAGACAAAATCCCAGCACATACGTGGGGAAGTGGATCAGAAACCCCAACCCTACCTGAGGAGCTATTGGCAACTGATGGCTGCTGGGAGGGGAGAGTCTTTTAAGGGTGTGACTCTTGTTAGGTTAACCAGGCTCCAGTGGATGAACCCACAGCAAAGGACATTTGGAAACACAAATTTGACTATATATATAAAATAGAGTACATGAAACTGAGCAGGGAATAGTAAGGGGGGTAAAGATAGGGAACGGGATCTAAATATGTTTATAATATATTGTATGAAATTTGCAAAAGTTCAGTTAAAAAAGGAAAAAAATTCTACCATCTGTATAGGCTTCTGTGTTATAAAATGTGCCCTTTAGTTATGTTGGTAAAAGAATGAGTCAGGTTTTTTTAAAAAAATCAAATTTCCCCTCTCTGATTCTGTTATTTTGGGAGCTTTGGGTTTATCATTTTTGCAATGCTGGGGATTGAATATAGGTCCTTGTACATACTAGGCAAGTACTCGATCACTGAATTATACCTCCAGTCCCCTCAGACTCTGTACAAAGCATTGTTCTATTTAATTCTTACCATATGGTTTTTCTCCCTCATTCTTTCCTAGAACAAATACTAAAATGCAGTAACGCCTGATCAAGGAAGTCTGCTATGGTCCTCTACTTCTTGGGGCCTTCAACTTGCCAGCTTCATGTGATCAGTGGTATTTTTCAACCTGAGGATGGACAGTCTTTGCCTGTACTGACCCCTGAATAGGTCACTGTTCTCTGGACTTTGGGGAGGTAGACATAAGTGGATATCTTCATTACATGTTCTGGAGACCATCTCTTCCTGTTTCTCAGAAAAGATTATGTATGTGTGTCCATGTCTGTCTCTGTCTGTCTCGCCCCCCACCTCTCTGTATGTAAAACAGGGATTATTGCTTTTTCGCTTTCTCTCTTTTAATCTCAGAGTGGAGGCTTGGTCATAACAACTTTGAAGAGAATGCCAAAAAGGAGGAAATGTGTCATTAAACAAAGCCTATTACCCAGCTCATCATGACAATTAGGCATAGATTGGTGGTGTGGGACAGCTTTCCCCATTAGCTCCTTTTAGTCTCCAAACAACTTGCCTGCTGAGGGACAGAGAACATCCCAGACAGGCAAAGGCCCAGAGACACTGGCAATTTCTATTAGCCCACTATTCTTGAATTCAGAACACTTTCTTCCCCTTTATCAGAGTAGTGCCAATCTCTACAAAGTCCAAGAATAACTGAAGTATATAAACCATAAGCGATCAATGGTTTCTTTACTCAGGCACTTTTTACTGTTAATCTGTAATTTTGTTACAATATTGATCTTTTCTAAAATTTTGTGTAAAGCTATTTAATTTAGTGCCTAATGATATTAAACAGTTGGATTAACTGGAACTACAGTAGTGTGATTTAGTGATAGGAGTTTCAGTGGAATTAGTTTCAAAACATTTGTGCTGGTTTGGCTTTTCTACAGACCAGTTTTCACAATGCAAAATCAAGGGCCTGGTATTATTCAGCTCTCCACAATGTGAGCTTCTTTCAGTAGCCAAACTCCAGTCTCCTCTAGAATGGCCCTCTTAGATGGAACTTTCCTATTGGTAGAAGAGAAAAGGCAGTGGTAGGTAAGCTATGCAGAACCCCACCATTGCCCAGTGTGAGTGGAAGCAAGCAGAAGTCCTCCTAAGCCCCAGTGGGGTCAACATCCCTGGAGAGCTATGGCTTCTGTTGCTGGTGAGGCAGGAGCAGGGCAAGCATGAAAAAGATGGGTTGTGGTATGACCCAGCTAGTACACCAGAGGCCCTGGGTTCAATCCCCAGCACTGCATTAAAAAAACAGCCAAATAAATGAGAATGAACAAGGTTCTACCTACCCAACATGGTCTTCAAGGTTTCCACTAATAATCAGGAGCCTTTTTATTTTTTTGAGATTGGATCTCATGCAGCCCAGAATGACCTTGAACTCTAGATACTCCCACCTCTACCTCCCTAGTGCCAGCATTATAGGTGTGCACCACCATACTTGGTTTACATGGTGTTGGACAAGTACTTTATCAAGTGAATTATATCCCCAGCTTCACCAGAGGCCTTTTTGATAGGCAGAAGAATTGGCACACACATAACTATCTCTGTGGCTGATATTTGGAGAAAGACATGCTGATTTTCACTGCACAGTATGGGATCTAAACATAAGAACTGCCCCAAAGCTTCTGAGTCCAGTGGGTAACTCCCAGTGCAGTTGGATTAAGTGCAGCTAATTGCATTTGATTTAGTGATCTTCAAACCAAGGACCCCGACTGTGCTCAAGCTTCAAACCCCATTTTTGCATTTATGCATGAAAATGGAGTCTGTCTAGAGCTTAAAACGTCTATTCACGGTTTCTGTGCTGTGTTAAAACCTGGGGTCACCTCTGAGATGTCAGAAGAGCATCTGAGTTTGGGAATGGAATAGGAGTAACATCTAAGTACTTGAGGTATCTAGGGACAAATTTTTCATCAAAAATTAGTTTCTCTATCCTAAATGAAATAATGACCTACTATAATAAGAATTCTTGTTATAGCATTTTGTCTTAGCATAAAATGTTTTAATGCATTTTTATAGAACTTGAGAAGAGGTGCCAGTGATTAAGTGCAGCACCATAAAACGGAATTGTATGTTGTTCTTGCAAGTCAATCAAAACTGGAAGTCTATATTTGATAGATATGTCTATATCTGTGCTCCTATGGAAAAACTGTGTGATTCAACTCTTTATTTCCTTTGATCCAAGTGATTGAATTTTAAAAGGCTGTGAACAGGAAGCAGGCAGCCAGCAATTTTCAGTGTTGTGATTACTTTAGGTGTGAGTACCTCCAGGTTGGATGAATTTAATAGACTTCTTGGAGAGAATGCCAGCAGAGCTGTTACATCAACAGTCCACAGTTCAGGTAGAGAGGCTTGACTCTACGATCCTTCCTAAGACTGTTATAAGTTTTGGAGATTTGGAAAACAACAACGACAACAAAATTATTCAACCCTATTCCCCAAACCATTAGCTTCAAAATTTGAAAATGTTATACGATCAGAAAGAATGCCAACACATCAATGACATTTAGTCACTATGTCAGTTGAAATGCAATTCAGCGTGAGTCCTATCTGACTTGTAAATAAAGTTCAGGGTATGCTGTTGGTGCCTTTTAATGATTGAAATAATTAGGAGGGGGTTCTGATAGAAGAACGCTTAGGGCGGCCACGGTTCCTAAGTAGCCTTATATGGCAAATGAAACTTAGTTTTACAAGACCTTGCATGTCCACCTTCCATTATTCTGTGGAAATCATTTGTTGGTCATTTTGAAGTCAAGCAGACCAATAGTACTGGCCCATGCTTGGTGGTACTTCTGTTATACAGTTGCCACTGGTAGATTTGATGGGGTACATTTTAGATTTTAGAAAAGTACTTGTCCCTTCCCACTCCCTCATATGGGATCTTGCCTTTAGAACTACAGTGGATGGACAGAAGGTGACAGTATTGATACTGACCCTGCACTCACCTTCCCAAATGAGGCACAGTTGGCTATCCTTTCTTTCCCCAAGCTTCCTACAACTTCCAGAAGTCTGTTACTTGTATTCCAGTTCACAAATGTCACCAGAACAACAGAACAGAAACAGCCTTCTCTTACCTTGAAGCTGTCAGGAATTCTATATATCAAAAAACCAGATTTTACAGGGTTATTCTCTGAATCCAGGATTAGACCCAGCTCTAAGGATATTGAGGTACAGGAGCCCTCAGCTGTGCCTAAGGAGAAATGTCTCCTGACCGGTCCTCCTCTCCGATCCCATCAGCTTTGTTTAGATGATTAGTAGTCCTGACCAGCGACTTCCTGCAGATGAAAGCTGGGTGATACTGCTGTCACCAATAAGATCAAGTCTGAGAAGGAATTATTAGTAAGGGTAGGGAAACAATTAGGTAAGGACTACATTCTTCTGTTTGCGTTCTTTATAGAACACTTGAAATCTACCCACAGCACCATGTGAAAAGAAAAGGAAAAAAAAAATCACACACACATAAAACAAAGCCAAAAGTGGGGTAGAGGGGGCTGTGGAAGAGGTGAATAAAAACAGCCTTTAAGAAATAAAAGAATTTGTGTCACTTTTAAAGATTAGATTTTTAAGTCTATGGCAGCTTTAAGTCTAGTTGTCAAGTAGCAAAATTACTCTAAAGAATGCAGAGGCAAAGCAGCAAAGAATGAAGCTGCTAGGGCGTGGGGAGGAGGAGGTTTTGGTAAAAATAAAATAAAGTAAAAACTGAAAGTGCTCAGGAGGGTCCTGAAAACTTTACTTCCTTGAGACTTTTATTGTTGCCATCCAAAACCAATTATGTGACTTTGCAGACAAAGAAAGCATTTGCAAGTACCTGGGAGTGTGTGGGGCGGATCCAGGTCCCTTAGAGGTTCTTATCCTTGCTTTATATTCACAGGCAAGGTTGATCTTCCCTTTCCCCCCTTGCATGCTAAAATGGCACGTTTTCCTCAGCACTAAAGGCTCTGAGCCTCTGTTTGGGCTGCAGGAAAGTGACTCTGGAGAGAAGCCCATGTGTGTACCTATATTCTGGAGGTAGTAATCATATCTGCAGGTACACACTTCACGGAGCCTGTGCAGGGATTCGAAGATACTCCATTCCCCATAAAGAAAGTTGATAGGGTCCCTATCCTCCTAGGCAAGTCCCAAGCTACTGAAGTCATTTGCTTTTTACCCTAGCAGAACCATGGATGCTCTGCATATTTAAATTCAGTTCTGGATCTGCAACAAGCTAATCCCCTTGGCACCCTGGAGAGTCTGATAATTATTCATTTCAGTTCAGTCCCAAGAGTGCATTTCCTGCACAAGTGTGGGTGTCAGCCTTTTAATAAAAGGTGCAACACAGGTTTAAGTAAAAGTTAAGCCTCAACAGTTTACAGACTTTATACATCAAAACATTTACCCTTTACCTCCCCAACGCTCCCTTCCTGCTAGACCAAACTGTGCTCCAAAATGACTTCAAACAGAGGTCAACAGTTTGGAAAATAGTAGAGGTTCATATATAAATATGTGGGGTATGCCAGGCATTAAGGCATATTTAGAGACACCATCTTCAATTGGGCTTTTTAATCATCTTCCTTTTGCTTTTACCCATTTCCATCTTTACCCATTATCTTTCGATAACGTTACATCCCTTTGACTCAAGAAAAATAGAAAACTTAAAAAATTTTTTTAGATCATTTTGCAAAAGCCAAAGTAAAGATAGGCCACTGTCATTTACTGTACATCTGTCCTATAAAGCATGTCCAGTTTTCCAAGGGTGTTAGCAGGCGTCTCAGACTCTCACTGGCCAGACCAGTTGGTTTGCAGTTGTACTAGTTTAGCACCTGGCAGGAGCTCACAGGATTCATCAGAACCAATTCAGCATCATTTGGAGTCGTTATAGAATTGGCGCTTTGGAGAACCCAGTACAGTAATAAATGGCAATATCTATATAAAGGATGGAAATACAGGTAACTGGGATGGACATCAAGGAAAGCAACCGAAAGCTGCTTTGGGAAGCTCTGGTCAGCTTAGGTGGCTGTCTAACAAGGTATAAAGATGTGCTCTGATGCTGTCTATGCACCTGCCATCTGCCATGAGCATAGTCCTGTTACTCTGTTGGGGGGATGATAATGGGTGTGGTTGTGGGTAAATGCTACCCGAACTTAGTTTTGATTGTAAAGAGTGGGTAGTATTTGAGAGCAAGAGATAGTTTTAAATAAGAGCAGGAAGAGTCTGCCTTCTACACCAGAGTTGGTGGAGTCCCCAACAGATGATTGATGAATGAAAGGGGGAATGAAGGGACTTGTAAACCCTGCTGTTGGAACTAAGCCAAATGGATGAGCCATGGAGCTAGATGGGGCCATTACTTACAGAAGTGCTGCATCCTAATTCTGGATTTTTAGAGATTTATCGTATGTGGTATAGCCCTGATAGTTTAGCACTGATTTGTCAAAAGGTCAGATCACATGACTATAATTTCTCTGAGTTCCTATCAGGAACCCTTTCTCCAGTCTACATCTTGAGAGGACTCATCCTGTGGAGAGACATCTTATAGTGATGTATATGAATCACATTCAGGTCTCTCTCTTCTTTCTGAGACCCCCCAAGAGGATACAGACAATGAGTGTCTGGAGATTCTTCAAAATGCCTTGCTTGCTTGTGCCAGAAGGGTTCTACAAGTTGTTACATCTATTTTAAATAGAAGCCTCTAATGCCTGTCAGTTCCAGGTTAAGTTAGTGGGCACATGGAGCACACTTTGCTGTGATTTTGATTCCGCCAACTTTTTGTCTCCAGGGAAAAGATGTTAATGTGTCACAAATGTCCAGTCAATATGAACGAACACTTCTCTAGTGTTCAGATAAGCAATCATTGAGTAAGATAGGTTTCCCAGGACTGTGCTTTGCTGTGAGATGGAATTAAAAAAAAGTCATTATAGATACAATTCTAGGAAGGATTAAGAAGGATGAGTAGGCTCTATACTGAGGAAGGAACCTAGTGTGAGCGTGAACCCTTTTACTACTCTAGGCACAGAGTAGGGTCACTTAATGTTATAAACTTGACCTTTGAAAGTTTTCCAGGGTAGGTGAGACCACAAAGGAAGATTGCATTCTGCTGCCCTTGGTGTCAATCCACAACGGTCTTTGACAGAAAGAAGGCCATCCTCTTTTGTTTTTGGAAGAACTCCTCTACAGAACAAGAGAATATGTACATTAATCAAATAGAAGCATCCTGTGTGAAGTCCTGTATGTGCATGTGTTAAGTTGCGCCTGGGTACAAGGAACCAGGAACTCAAATATTCCAATCACCAGGCCTGCTTTGACCTTCCTTTGGTGCTATAAGTTATCCAGTTATTCAGGAAAGTGTCAGGAGGTGAAATCTAACAGTACTGTGGCCATATTTACACCAATCTACCATGAACAACTGGGGATATACTAGGAGTGGTGTTTGTCTTGGACAGTCTGAGCCAGAAAGACAAGATTTATAAAGAAAAGATAATACACTTGTTTTCCTACATGTACCAGACGTGCTAAAGTCACCTCAGTGTAGTGTTCTCATATATAAAGTGCTTTAGAGCTGGACAGAATACCTTCGGACATCATAACTAACATAATCGAGACACGTTTACATTCCTACCAGGGCATAATATTGTGATCACGTCCACTGAGATTACAGAACTGCTGTAATTTTTTCTAAAACATCATGCCATCTGCACACGTAAAATAATCCAGTAGTTGCCATGCTAAAACAGGACTTCTAGTGAAGGGCACAGACAAACCCCCGAAGGGAACTTGAGTTATGCACAGTGATGAAAACTGGAAGCAATTTTCCAGCTAATGGTCTGCCAATGACCACTTGGAACCAGTTGGCACTGTATATTATGCACCTCATTTGAAAATCCACAGCAAACTAAGATTTTTTTTCCCAAAGCCTATAATCTTGACTGAATGGGTGTTTTCTCAGTTAATCTATTAGTGCTCCAAGGATCTCTTCTGGCAGTGCCATGAGTAAGTCTCTCTCTGGGGAACAGGCCATATTCATACCCACTGGCAGGACAGCAACTTCTGAGTTTATGGAGAACCCTCGACTGAGGCTGCAAAAAGAAAAAGAGGAAAACCTGGTTAGTTACTTCCTTTATGTCCCACATACCAACATGTAGCAATTATCTTATTTAAACAAACCCTAACACCCTGGGGCCAAAGAGAAAGCACTAGCCAAGATGATGGTTACTCAACTCAGGATGGATTTGTAGTAGCTTGTACTCATGGAGGATCCTTGCACCATTTGGCAGAACACAGAAGACACCCACATGAAGAGTCAGGCCAAGCTGCCTGGAAGGAAGAGCAAAGCTGGATCTCTGGACTTGGCATTCAGCCCTAAGACAGGGATGCAGGGTGGGAAAGTGTTTCATGTGTTTTAAGGGTTCACGCATGTATGTGACCTGGAGGAATATCAGGTTGGGAACGGTGCAAGGCTTTTTTGGGGGGGTGGGGTGGAGTGGAGTGTAGAGATGGTTTCATTCACTAGGAATCTTAGAATAAAATCTAGAAGGAAATACAAGAAACAATATGTCGAAGAGCTCCTGAGGTTACACAGTGAAAAGTCAGACTGGCTGAGCAAGTTAGGGGCTGGAAAGTGAAAGTCATTAAAAGCCGACTGGAGATTGAACTATTGAATTGTAGCCCTGCTCTGGACTTTGGGAAGGGTTGGGCAAATACATTATCCCAACTTTAAATGTTTACTTTTCCCATTATTTTCTATGTGCTCTACACACAGGACCTCAATAATTAATTATTACATGAGTATAACAATATTTTACCCAACACACAAACTATTGGGCAACAGCAACAGTTCTTGATGTAAAAGAAATCTTCCTAGGTTTCCAAGTTTATTTGGCTTTACAACATGAGAAGATCCCCATTTTGTAAACAAATGCTTGATTAAAAGTTGTTACTTCAAAGAAAAATGCAGAAGAAAAGATACTCTTGTAAGTATATTAAATATCGAATAATAACACAACACACACTTCTGATAAAGTTGTAATGTGAACAGAAAGCTCATATGTTGCTCGTGGCATAGCAAACTGGAAAAATAACATTCATTTGTTTAGAAACTATTAAAAATTTATATCTCCTGATCTAGTGATCCCATTCCTGGGAGAGTACCCTAAGGAAATAATGTAAAAATAAAAGAAGCTATATACACAAATATGCAACCTAGAAGTTTTTCTATTAGAGAAAAAGACTGAAAATGACAAGTCTATGTTGAAAATTTAAGAAAATTATGGCACATTAATAAGACAAATGATTATCCAACGATTAAAGTAATACTAGTTATGGTTATACAGCAGCATGATAATCAGTTATACTATAATATGCAACACATATACATAAAAGAAATGTAAGTGAAAACAGAAATGGTGCTGCAGTTTTATTATTGACATATTTTGCAAAACAGTAACAAAAATTAGGCTCACCATGGTGCACTCTTCTGAATATTGATTCACTAAAGTATTATGATTATTTTAATTCAGTAATATGACCTAGAAAACAAATACTTCATTGTTTCACTAAGACATGACACTCTAGTGTCATTGAAAGGGAGTTAGACACCAATGTGGTGGAAACCCAGATCAGCCTTCAAGGAAGCAGTACAGCCCTGAACCACAGCATAGACTTGTAGTAAACCGACACAACATACTATCCTTGAACCTTTTGCTACAACTAGATCTGGGAAATGTATGACCTTGGACAAAAGCCAATTAAATAAAATAACTATTAAACAGGGAATAATGGCAGGTAAGGATTGATCCCTACTAAGTAAGGAAGAACAATGAGGTGCTCGTTTACAACATGGATACACAAAGAAGTAGAGGCCATAGACAGACAACTTGGAGTTCCACTGCATGAGGGCATTCTTCATTGCTCTTTGATGCCTTTTTACAGTCAATGTTGTAACCTTTTGATTGGGACACCATAAGGTTGATACTTACGCAAGCTGTATGTACAAGGTACTTGGCTGAAGTAAATTTTGAACCTTAATCTTTCTATCACATATGCCCAGTGATGGGCTCTACTGTCATCACTAGAGATTAAAACTGTTATTATGTTGTTTATTTATCATGTGCATATGTATATGCCATAGTGCACCTTTGGAGGTCAGAGGACAACTTGCAGGAGGCAGTTCTCTCCTTCAGACCTAGAGATTGAACTCAGGTTATGAGGCTTGGTAACAAACACTGTTACCTGCTGAACCATCTCATCAGTCCTCACTAGAGATTTTTGTTATCAGAAATAAAAATGTTTTAAAAACTACATGAGGGAGCTGAGGACTGATGGATAATACTTGCCATGCAGTGGATAATACTTGCCATGCAAACACAAACACAAAGACCTGAGTTCAGATCCCCATACCCATGTAAAAGTCCTATGTGTGATGTGTATCTAAAACCCCAGGGCTGGGAGGGCAGAGACAGGAGGATCCCCAGAACTCACTGGCTGGCCAGTCTAGCCAAATTGGTAAGCTCCAGGTTCAATGTGAGCCCCTACCTTAAAAATAAGGTGAAGAAGCCAGGTGTGGTGGTGCACACCTTTAATACTAGCACTTGGGAAGCAGACACAGGTGGATCTGTAATATGGAGGACAGCCTGGTCTACATAGTGAGTTCCAGGCCAGCTGAGGTTACAGGAGATCCTGTCTCAAAAAGACAACAACAACAACAACAACAACAACAAACCCAAAAAACAAAACGTGAAGAACAATAGAGGCAGACACCCAGCCTTGGTAGCTTCTGGCCCTTATACACATGTATGTACAAACATGCACCATGGAATGCCCCAACCATCCTCTTCAAGAAGGTACTGCTATGTCTTATGTTTGGCTTCCTAAAACACTATGTACTAAATTTTTAGCATTTAGTTGTGAAATTAAGAAAGAAATGATGTTAGGCTGTTTAATCCAGCAATTATGTTTTCCTTCTTGGAGACAATCATTTAGTCCCAGAGTCTGGGATGAGTAGCAAAGCTTTAAGACCCAGTGATCAAGAGCATGGGCTCTGGCATATCTCGGTTCACTTCCAAGATTCACCACGTACCAGCTGCTATGTGATGTAAAAAGCAGGAATTCTTCTAAACCCCATTTACTTCATCTTTAAAACAGTAAATATGATCGCTAGCTCACTGGGTTTCTGTAATGATGAAGTGAACTCATAGGAAAAGCACTTTGGACTTTGTTTAGTGACTAATAGATAACTGATAAGCAATAATTATTATTATTTTATTATTATCACAAGTTCTTCAATGTTACTTTGAGACACAAGAGATACAAATAGGCCAACATTCAAGGACTGGGAAAAGAAACAAAATGCCCAGCTAATAGGCCTTTGCACCCTCTCCCCACCTGCCAAGGCCACAGTCTCTGCACTCTGGTTTCTACTCCCCTCCAGATTAGTGTAGGCATTCAGACAGTTGCATGATAAGGAGAGTTTGTAACACTTCAAAGGCAGGAAGTGACTGGCCTGGCAGGCAACAGCCAGCCTGGCAGAGGGCTCAGGGGAAGATTTTGGACTTAAGTGTTCAGCTTCACCTTCTCTCACCCCAGCAACAAGACTGAAGGCTTGGCATGTTTGAAGAAAAGAGATTGTGCTAGGCAACTCTACATCTCATGGGCTAAAGGGAGCAAATAAGACTTGTTCCCTTAAAAGGGCTGTTTAGTGTCTTTTATTCAGAAAGAAGAATATATATCTTTGTGAAAGAACATGTCTTTCATGGAACTCAACTTTGAGGTTTTTTGAGGTAGGTCTGAATTATTTTTGGATGCTGGGTAATTTATATCAGGTAGGAAAGCAATGGAATGATATCCACAGTTGCCCAATATAACAGTCTATAAGCAGATCTATTATTGAGCAGCTACCATGGGCCAACTAAGCCAGTGAGCAACCAGTCACTGAAACTTCAGTGCCATTTTGGAGGTCTCTGTAAAGATATGTTGAAAATGAGTTCAGGCATATTTATCACTGTTAGACTACACAGAGGTGAGAACTAGAATCCAGATCTGCTGTCACTATAAGACTTCAAAACTTTTGTAACTATTCAAAGGAAATTCTGTAATCCCAATAGGAATATATGAAGAAATCAAATAGCTGTGTTGTGAAAAAAATTCTAATTAAACATAACTCCTAGCCATAGAAGAGATTCACTACTCTTTTAACAGGGTGTAATCTTTCTTATATGTAGCTCAGTTGTTCTCAAATGAGCATAGTTTTGTCCCCTAGGGGAAAAATGGTACTGTCTAAAGACATTTCTGGTTGTCACTCATGAGGGTTACTATTGGCATTTAGTGAATTGAGGTCAGGGACACTGTTAAACATCCTATAATGCACAGGATAGCCTTCTGGCCCCAACAATGAATGCTCCAGCTTAAAATTTTATACATGCTAAGGCTGGCTTAGCAGGCACAAGCTTTTGCTTATTTTTTTTTATTCTTGGTTATGAGCCAAATATATCACTCTCAAAATAGGTCAGGATAAAAACTAACCCAAGTGGGCCTTTTGTATGCACAGGAAATAAGGCTAATTTCAAACCTTACTCCCCTCTTCTATTCATTATTTTCTCATTTTATTTGATTTTATATTCAATGCAATCAAAACCTCTAATACTAAATCACTTCTAACTCTAGAACCCTCACAGGCATACCACTATAAGAATCAAGATTGGATGATTTAGACAGGTATGCCCAATTAATTAGTATGTGTGCAGGAAGTTATGAGAGAAAAGGAAGACAAAGGATGATTTATGTGGCAATAAAACCCAGTTCTTCTGCCAGTGCTTCTGGTAGGAGATGCCACATGTGTTCCTGCTGATACTGGTTCCATTTCTGCCACTCCTGTCCCCCAAGAGACCAAAGTGGGTATTTTTTCACTGAGGATATGAAAAAGGAATCAGCTTTATCTTCTTTATGTGAAGATAGAGGTCAAACACTCAGACAAGATGGTGCCAGAATGGCGAAGAACTTGAGTGAAAGATAACAATAAAAACAATGATGCATATAAACTAACCTGTAACTTCTCACAAGTCCTAGTAAAAGTGGAAATCGT